TATATATATATATATAAAAATTATATATACACATACATATACACACACACACACACTGTATACATATACACACACTATGCAGTGATAATCTTGTTCTAGTTACAAGAAATGTGTTTGCAAGGCTTCCTGGATGACATCAGGAATGCGTGGTTATAAATTTTGATGGGTGTGTAATCTGTACATATAGAGTCCTCACCAGCATGTGAATGATCGGACTGTTGATTATTTTATGCAGAGCTACACATAAAACTCCCACGCAGAGCACTGTAGCCCAAAGCCACCTGCAGTGCAGCGTACAGGTGTGTAACAGGAAGTATGTGGGTGTCATAGCTGAGTCCTCACACAGCATCTGTGCTTCCAGGAAGCAGGACTCTGCCACTGTCAATCTGCTCTTCTGATCAGCACTGCCTGTGCCTGTTCTGTATCTTCATATATCAGGATCAGCAACCATCCCACACTATGACGCAACCAGGCAGCAGAGAAGGTGATTTAATTTCCCTGTGAACTGAGCGTTCACTACACCACCCGTTATTCCAAACCCTTTCCGGCCAATGGCTAGGTACATTTTGTAAACCGCAGTAATTGTTAAGAAACATATTTGCATTGCTTTCAAATAAATTCTCAATGGATGTTTATACACTTGTGAAAGTAAAAGTGCTCCTACAGCAGCAGAGGTGCCAGCACATACATTTGCAAGGCCACAGTTTGAGAGGTGGGAAAAATGAAAAATGTGTTTGTTGAGGGCCACATACATGTAAAAATAGCATTATTCATTAGCTGCAGGGTTTGTTTTCACCCCATGTTTGAGGAAATTATTGGATGATTAAATTAGGGTAGGCACCTAGAACTACTGAGTGCCTCAAACCCTCTGCAATTTTCTTTTATTCTGCCAAAAGGCCACCACTGACACCCGATGGTTTTAGGAGGCACTAACCACTGATCACCAACATTTTAGTGGGCACTTACCACTAGCTATGATTTTAGGAAGCACTCACCACTGGTCACCAATGACTTAGGGGGCATTAACCACTGACCATCAATATTTTAGGGGGCACTCACCACTGGCCACTAATGACTTAGGGGGCACTAACCACTGACCATCAATGTTTTAGGGGCCACTCACCACTGACCATCAATGTTGTAGGGGGAACTAACCACTGACCTTCACTGTTGTAGGGGGCATTAACCACTGACCTTCACTGTTGTAGGGGGCACAAACCACTGACCATCAATGTTTTAGGGGGCATTAACCATTTACCATTAATGTCTAAGGGCACACTCACTACTGACCACCAATAGTGAGTGGTGGTCAGATTGCAAGATATCATAAGCGCCCTGTCTGAAAATAAAGATTCTGCATCTGTTATGCACATCTGGGTCTTCCCTATACTGTACATAACAAAAAGCTCTTTTCTTTTGTATACAAGGCATATGTGCCCTTTTGTCCATGCATTATTATTGCTTCTCAGCATGCTCTAACAAATGTGTATACTGTAAATGCGAACACAGCATTTAAATACAGTGACCACTAGTACTAAAACCTGTTGTGGCTCTGACAAAGGAATAACAAACAGTAGAGCTCCCTGAATGAAAATGTCTTAAACAACTGACTGAGGCCTACTTAAAATGAAATCAGAACAAAAGTGAAACTGTTGCCTTTAGTAACCAGGCACACCGTTTGGGATGCATTTATGAAAGTTCTGCCCGTCTATGCCGTTCGCATGACATTAGCTCCCTATACTCATCAGTGCCATCTAAGGGCACTAGTACCATGCTGATGGCAGTGGGGGAAACTTTTATAAATGAACCTCTTGATGGCGCTGACAAGTATAGGAAATTGTTATACCTGTTAGCACCATCTGGGGGTGCTAGTGCTGTGCAAGCTTTTAAAAATGAACCCCTTTGTGACATTTTCTAAGAAAATAAAAGATTACATTTAACAACTTAGTTTTTTGGCAGTGTTTTTATTAAACATCTGCTTTTTATTTTATAAAATACCTAGCTATATGATGCCTAGCTGCGCGACAGAAAAAAGCTGAAGTTTTGGCCAATATTTGATAGTATAGAATTGACTATAAGACAGCAAGTTAGGTTGTGTAACATTTTATTGAATGCACAAATGCAGATAACCCTGTAAAAGAGAGTGGAATAACATATCCTCTGGTCTCTAGAGGGGGCAGCTGACACCGGTTCCCTTCAGGCCACAGTAGCCATCTGGGTTTTTGTGCAGATATTGCTGGTGATAATCCTCTGCATAATAAAACTCTGGAGCTGGATGGATCTCTGTGGCGATGGTGCCCAGGCTGATGCGTTTAAGCTCCTGTAATTACAGAACAGCTAGTTAATACATCTGTTCTGGAAACATCATTTATAAATCGATGAATGGTCTGCTTTTCTTTATAAGCCGAGGTACCATATTTCTTACATTAGGAAACAAGGTGGCACTACGTTTTAATGGGCCTTCCGTGCCACCATCAACTTTTTCTGAAGAGCTGCAATGAACATGTTTAATTCTGGAATTCGAAGGAATCAATGCAGAGTATGTGATGTACAATTTACAAGCCATCAAATGCTTAGATAATAGTTTGTAGCCGTGCCTCCACGTCCTTGTAGCAAGGGCTACATTGTTACTATAATATAGGGAGTCCATGCTGTGGCCTACTACAAATTGTTCTAAAAAGGTTCAAGCTCCAAGTGGTAGGTTAATATAGCATGTGTACCTCTGTCTGCTAAACGTGAGTAGTGCTATGATCTGAACCTGGACTATAAAGGGGTTGGAGGCAGGTTGGAGGTAGGTCCTCTAGTATCATCCTTAGTACTCTTGCCTCTGCCATCTGTAGGCATGCATCTAATGGTAGCAAGCAAACAGGGCTGGATATACCATGAGGCATTGTAGACACATGCCTATAGATGGCAGAGCCAAAGAGGTAGGCTCCATAGGAAGCTATGAGCAGCCCACTAAAAGGTGGGAAACCTGCTGTGATATCCAGTGCTGAACACCTCATTTACTTCTCCAACCTCATAAAAATAAAGAAGGAAAGATAAACACAAAAAAAAAAAAGAAAAAAGAAGAACAAAGACTTCAGGAGAAGGGCATAGGGCTGCACTGGGTCACCAGTTTGGCATCACTGATTTAGACATATGTAAATAAAACTCAAGGATTCCCCACTTTGGTTTCTGACCAACAGACCAAACTTGTTCTATGGTATGTATGAGTATAGATAGCAGAATGTTTACCTTTTGAAAGTTCTCCTTTGATAATACAGCTGCATCTTTCTGTTGATGTCCATAGGTGTATATCACTGAGCGGTACTGACTGCCTACATCCTGTCCTTGCTTCATTCCTGCAGTGACAGATGAAGTGATCATGTTAGGGAAACAATGATATTCCCATGGTAAACTTTTCCATTTGGGTTTCAGCCTGCTAGTGGATGTTCAGCTGTCAAACTGCAATATTTGATATCACAGTTAGCCAGCTACATTAAAAAAAAAAAAAAAAAAAAAAGTTAAAAACAAATGTTGGGCTAAATCTGACAAGTTACTATCTGGTCATACAATCTACTAAGTATAGGTTAAGGTGGAAAAACAAGCGACCATGAACTTATACCAGAACAGTTCCCCTGACTCTCCCCTGTAAAATAATAGCGGTCATCAGCGGCGAAAAAGCCGCTGATGAGAGCTATTAACAGGAATTCTGGGCAAAGCCCACCCCGCAATCTGCAGCCTCTCCTTCCCAGCTATGTAGCTATAAATGTGACACTATCCCAGTCAATAAAAGGTATTGACTTTGTATCGAGTTGGAGTGCGAGTGACCATTTACCGATTTTGTACTATTGGCGGAGGCATCTGTGGTCGCATCGGCACCCGCCCAAGTTTGGAGTTTGTTTCCGGTCAGGAGTGCGGTGGGATATACCTTGGACTTACGTGGTTCGTTGTTAGAACGCATCGCAGTCCTTGTTTTTAAAAAAAATAACATTTAACTGTGTGGCAGCACGTTGCAAAACATTGTGACACATTGCTGTGCGTTGATACGCTGTGTTGCGATTAAATGTACGCCTGTATCATTTTATCACAACACATACACAAACACAGTGTAGAAACGATTTTAACATAAGTTACTTATTTACAGTTTTGCCTTACTTCATTTTTTTACAGTTTCGCAAAAAGGCGGCCTTTTCAAATTTATAAATATTTGTTACTTATTAACTCAATCCAGTTTCATCTTTTACATTTAGTCAGAAAAGTATTTTTTTTTGTGCACCGATACTGACTTTATAGTGTGCTTTTATCAATTTAATAGTGTATTTTTATCGGTTTAATATTGATTTGACAAACATTTGTGCAATTATCGCAGGACCTATAAAATAAGTAGCACCATGTTTTTATTTTACCCGGCCTGTGCTTTCAGAAAATATATGGTTTGGGGGTATTTTACAAAACACTAGCAACGCAGCAATAGGAAATCAAAACAATGGGGAAATTGCAAAAATGGTGTGGCCAGCTGAGGTTAAAATTATTCCGGAGGGCTTGGCAGGGAAAGGGTTAACTGTTTTTCCCCCCCATTTCAATTTATTACTGGATATTACTGTATATAATCTTTACATTATTCACATAAAATCTTTTGAAAACAAACATTACAGGGTAGTGATTAAAAGTACTGTGACACTCCATTTGCAAAGCCTGATGAGCTTTCTTATGTGAAAGCCTAGCACTGCTAGCATGACAGAGGAAGTTCCTTTTTCTGCATATAGCTCCCTCTTCTGGCTGAAAGTGGTAACAACATTTTTCCATTTTTTTAGTACTGAACATAAGAAAATATTTTTTACAAAATGTTTTTTTTAATGATAGATTTCTATGAAGGGATTCTTCACCTTATTTTAAGTATGCATGAGCAAGCAATGTACCTTCAGTTGGATTGTGGTTCTCCCAGAACAACTTCAGTAAGTCTTTATAAGTTATGACTTTAGGGTCAAATACAATCCGGACCACCTCGACATGTGCAGTGAGACCTTGAGAGAAAAGCAAAAGATATGCTAAACCATTGTGCAATTGTCCTTGGGAATATTTTTGTACCTGTACGGAGAGGATGCCCATTGCATTGCTTGGCAGGCTCTGGCTTTAGTACATTCATTCTGTGTTTAATTGCCTGGAGTTATCGGTCTGATTTTCAGAACATTAAAATAAAGTCAGAACTCCTGATCTGTATATTTGTTTCCGGTACTGACTCAAAGTTTTGAAGTCCTCAGATTAACATAGCAGCCAGTGAACTGACTTCTGCTGATAACCTTTGCAATAGGGTCACCAGCATTTCTACTACAAATAAGGCATAGTGCTGAGGTTTGACATGTCACCTGTTCGGATAGAAATATGGAAGCCGTCATTGCTGACTTGTGCTTAATGTACAAGCTCCAGGCCCTGTAATCCTTGCTTCACTACTTAGAGGGTCACTGCCCTCAATCCTAATTTCACTGGCTGTATGTTGCATGTCTTTGGCCTTCAAAACAGTGAAGCCAAGATAAGGCCTTGTTCACACCGAAAGCAGTGTGTTCCAGAGTGCTAGCTGCTGGAACGCACCGCGATCACTCACGAAACTTCCCCCTGCTTTCTGGGGCGGGAGGGGGCGTGGCGGTTCATTGAAGTCAACGGCACCGCTTCCACCGCCTGAGTTCCGTTCCACCCGCAAACACCAAAAATAGGGCTTTGCCACACGTTCGATTGCACTGCGGGCGGGGGTGAGGGGGGGGGGCTTGTGTTCAATGCACCGCCACGCCCCCTCCCACCCCAGAACGCAGGGGAAGGATTGCAGTGCGTTCCAGCAGCTCCCGCTCCGGAACGCACCACTTTCGGTGTGAACAAGCCCTTAGAGAGAGTGGTGCCTTCAAGGAGCTGCAGTGAAAGGGTGCAGACATGGGTACTCAATCCTAATCCCTTGAGGGACATAAAGTGTTGGGTGATTAAAGCTGAACCCGTGCACAAAAACTATCATTGAAATACTGTATATTCCTCAGTAGCCACAAAGGACATGAATCCACTTTGTCTTCACTAAATGCCTTTGTAAACCCAGATATTATGCAACACAAAACGGGGAAATGGAGTTGCCTTTTATCGTATAGAACACATGTACCAATCTGCAGGGTTTCCAATAGTTATTCAAAAAACGGTCCCCAACACAACGAAATCCCTTCTATGGAGATTGGTCTAAGTAATCAGGTGAATCAAAATTCATAATGCAATAATTTATTATAAGACAAGACATGTATCAACTCCCATTACAATTACAAAACATTTAAAAACATTTAAAACATTCCACTGGAATCGCCCTGCGCCATAATATCAAACATGCCCATAGACCACCTGTGTGGTAAAACTCACTGTTGTGAACTCAAAATAAGCGGGTACTTATCAAGAGATGCAAAGTATCCGAATTTACTCACATATGTTGCGATTAAGGGGGGGGACTCGAAAGAGATGAACCTGCTCAAGACCTGTACACACGGATGGAAATAAACTGTAAGATGTATCCAGACTTTGCTGAATTTGTGTGTGAAAGAGTAGATTTCCTGAGTAAAGGTCAGCAGCTGAGGTCACTCGTCTCTCTCCCCTTGTATTTTCTCCCCGGAGGTGCAGAGTCCTGTACAGGCTTTAATTTGTAGGAGAAGAGCTCGTTCCAAGGAGCTTTAGTAATTCATGTGCGGCCGCACTGTGTAGAGTAGAACAAACAAGGAAAAACAGCTATTTTTACACTCCACGGTGAAATGCCTGTGGCTCAATTGAAGCAAACAGTTACCGGTAACACACGAGCAGCTTTTTCCCAAATGCTTGAAGGTAAATCGTGGCCGCCCAGTCAGAAGCCGCTTCACAAACAGGGTCACCTCTATTCAAACAGTCCGATCGGTAGTTAGCATGATATTCGTCCCAAAACGGATTGTATAGGGGATGAGTAGACGAATAAAAAGCATCTCTTGTGTCGAGGGCATCCAGGGAAGGCTAGCACACGTTAACCCTGACGCGTTTCCTCCCCGCAGCTGGGGGCTTCCTCCGAGGGACGTGTAAACCCAGATATTACTTTGTAACAGTAGTTTTGGCATCGAGCCTGTGCAGAGAGCAAAGCTGTGGGAGGGACCAGCAGGCTCCACGTAACTACAGGCTGCATGTAGAAAACTACAGAAGCGGGCAAAGAGAAGACCAGTCACCCTGCACAAGGAGAGAGAGCGGCATATACTGGTCTTTATTACAGAAGGCTTCTATGCAAAAGAAACATTTTACATGTAGTCTCATGTAATGTGTCTCCAGTCCATGACTATCTACTGAAGCATGTCCCCAGTCTCCAACAGGTCCTGCAGCATGTCGGCACTCTCTGACCATCTCCTGTAGCATGTCTACACTCTCTGACCACCTCCTGTTGCAGGTCTGCACTCTCTGACCACCTCCTGTTGCAGGTCTGCACTCTCTGACCACCTCCTGTTGCATCTCTGCACTCTCTGACCACCTCCTGTTGCATCTCTGCACTCTCTGACCACCTCCTGTTGCATCTCTGCACTCTCTGACCACCTCCTGTTGCATCTCTGCACTCTCTGACCACCTCCTGTTGCATCTCTGCACTCTCTGACCACCTCCTGTTGCATCTCTGCACTCTCTGACCACCTCCTGTTGCATCTCTGCACTCTCTGACCACCTCCTGTTGCATCTCTGCACTCTCTGACCACCTCCTGTTGCATCTCTGCACTCTCTGACCACCTCCTGTTGCATCTCTGCACGCTCTGACCACCTCCTGTTGCATCTCTGCACTCTCTGACCACCTCCCTTAGCAGGTTCTGCACTCTCTGACCACCTCCTGTTGCATCTCTGCACTCTCTGACCACCTCCTGTTGCATCTCTGCACTCTCCGACCACATCCTGTAGCAGGTCTGCACTCTCTGACCACCTCCTGTAGCTGGTCTGCACTCTCTGACCACCTCCTGTAGCAGGTCTGCACTCTCCGACCACCTCCTGTAGCAGGTCTGCACTCTCCGACCACCTCCTGTAGCAGGTCTGCACTCTCTGACCACCTCCTGTAGCTGGTCTGCACTCTCCGACCACCTCCTGTAGCAGGTCTGCACTCTCCGACCACCTCCTGTAGCAGGTCTGCACTCTCTGACCACCTCCTGTAGCTGGTCTGCACTCTCTGACCACCTCCTGTAGCAGGTCTGCACTCTCTGACCACCTCCTGTAGCAGGTCTGCACTCTCTGACCACCTCCTGTAGCAGGTCTGCACTCTCTGACCACCTCCTGTAGCTGGTCTGCACTCTCTGACCACCTCCTGTAGCAGGTCTGCACTCTCTGACCATCTCCTGTAGCAGGTCTGCGCTCTCTGCCCACCTCCTGCAGCATGTCTGCAGTCTCTGGCCACCTTCTGCAGCATGTCTGCAGCCTCTGGGCATCTCTTGTAGCATTCTTGTAGTGTTTGACCATCTCCTGGTCCATATCTGCAGCCTCTGATAGCTTTCTGTAGCATTCCATTAGCTGGATATTACTTGTGGCCCTTTGGTGATGTCAGGGGACAGACTTCACCACTGGTGTACAGCGTTAGTGTTTTAGGATTACAGAACGCCTATCTCCTATGTTATGGAGATAAGAAGAGGAAAGGTGTTCTGCAAGCCTAATAAACGTTCTGTTCCAGGATGAAAGTGTTCCATACAGTGAGTGAGAGTCATCCAAAGACTGGAAGTGTAATACCAACATGATTACAAGGTGACAATAAAGGGGAAGAACCCTCAGAAAACAAAGTTGTATTACAGCCGCCACATCTAAGGACTGGTGAGCTGCAATATATTGATAACGTTTGTTGTGGGGATTAGATACACTTTAGGTAAAGACACTATAGTTCTTTTTCGGTCTCATAGAGATCAGTTGAAGCCGAAGCCAATACAAGTCCTAGGGTGCCCTCTGGTGGTACATTTGTGGCATACAACCGGCAAGCATTACCAAGTGCTGCTGAATTCACAACCAAGACAAAATCCTGGGGTAGTTTTCAGTTACTCATTTATGTCATACAACTCCAAACCATTACTACACATCAAGTTTTTGGCACAATACGACTCGGTTTTATACTGCTTTCTGTCATCCCTGTTCTGACAACTGCTTAAAAAAACTGTAGCAGACACAATTTGGTATAAACAATGCTACAATTCTAAATTAGACAGCCTCAGTGTCAAAGGGCAATTGTCAACAAAGTGCTGGTTCTGAAACAAGATATTCTATGATTTACATGACTGTCTGAAACCCAAAAAGTGACAGCGACATATATAGAATATGCCAAATAAGAAAAAGGGGAGTGCATTCAGCTCACCTGGTAGGAAGTTGGTTTGTTCTCTGTTTACATCTGGTACCTGTGTAGATGTAGTTGCCCACTCTTCATTTATTCGACTCATGCCATATTTATTCTGGGTACTATATTCCCTTAGGCCTCATTCATACAGCGTCGGGCCGTAGAGATCCATGCGGCGACCATATCGGGCTGTTCCCAGGAGGGACAGGTGCTGCGTGTGATTGCATGCAGCATTCTGTCCTTCTCTATGGGAGGACGCGGCTGCAGTGGCATCACAAGGGGGGTGCGGCCCGCACCTAGGTGCCAACATTGGAAGGGTGACACCAAAATGACTTGGCAGTGAAATGACGGGCAGTCGGACCGAGAGCCCGACAGTATCAGGAGAGAGGAGGGGACCCGGTGGCATACCTTATCCCACAGGGTGAACGTCCCCTCCTCTCTCTGCCGGCATCCATAACCAAGATGGCCACCGGCAGGCGTCAAAAAGACCACTGCGCGTGCGTGATGACGGCGGGGTGACACCCGGTCCCCGCATGACACCACTGCGTGGCTGTCCCCACATTCGAGCTGCACTTCCATGCGGGTCCGGGTGTCCGTACTCTGACACAGACAGGGTAGATCCGGTCAGCGTCCGAGCACGGACACCCGGACCCACAATTCTGGTGTACGTATGTCAGCGTACGGCCGAACAGGCTGCTGCGA